GTGTGAGACACAAAGACGAGGCAAAAAGGAAGCCTGATTTCAACTGTGGCATTCAGCTACTCATTGCATCACATATTCAATCGCTGGTGAATTCATGAGTCTGGCACAAACACACTGTGAGTGACGAATTGAACAGCATTAGCAATCAGTGTATAATGCAACCATTTCAGCTCTTTCAAGGGAAGGTTTGAGATCACTCAGTGATGAGCACTGATAAACTGGTTCACTACAATAATTTATCTATTTTTTTTTACATCCTCTACAACAATGCAAGGCTTTTTTTCTCTGTGTGGTTAGTAATGGTGATGTTCATTATGTCAAAATAAGGAAAAAGAGGTCTGCAGTACATGATATTCTTGCCAAAACATATTTGGTGCCTTCAGGTAGGTAAAATCAGATTACTGACAGCAGAGGGCAACACAGACCTCATTAGTGAATAAAACCAAAAACATGTATTAAAAAATCATACAAACATTTTACTGTATTGGAGTATAAACCCCAGCATCATTTATAGATTTACTGTAGAGCCAAAATTCTGGAAGTAGCAATCTCTTAAAAAATAATTTTGAACACCTATGTGAAATACATGAAATAGGAAGTACATGGGAAAGAGGAAAGCATTATAACAAAGGCAATGACAAATACCTTTGACTAAACTGCATTTACTTTTAGACGTTTACTGCATAATCAGACATGTCCAGCAGACTTCATCATATCAAAAAGCTGTAACCTTACGAGACTTTATTATTTTTAACTCTGTGTATACCAATAGCTCCATTTAGCTGATTATACCAAAAGCAACACAGTACTATATTGAAAACAGGAAGTTTTACAACTTTTTTGTTGTTGTTCTCCGTTAGCCTTTATCTTGTGTGTCACACTGCCTTCCCTAGCCATGTTTGCCGGAGAAGGACCATATAATGACTGAAAGTTTCAAATCACATGAATGTCATTTATTTTTCATTCATTTTAGGGCTGAGAGAAGCATGGTGGGGCTCGCAGACCAATACCACAAGAAGGTCATGCCCTGCCACAGGGCAGCATCATGGTGTCCCTTTCGCCCCACAGCCAGATCCAAGTACCAGATCCAAGCCCAAAACAGCCGGCAGCCTCAGTGGAAAGAAACTGTGCCCGCACACCTGAGGCTGCTTGGGACAGCGAGTTATTTCCAGGGCTGCCGCCCGCTCGGGAGCGTTCTCACCCTGCGGCAGCCACGGGCACAGCACAGGAGCCCACAGGGAATACACCTGCCACGGTCATCCCACGGCAGATTCACGGGATCAGTTAGCTTGGAAAAGAGATCAGTGCTGATCAGCTTGCTCCGAGATCAGCGAGTCCAGCCCCTGACACAACACCGCCCTGTCAGCCAGACCACGGCACTGAGCACCACGTCCAGACGTCCTTAAACACCTCCAGGGACAGTGACTCTGCCACCTGCTTGGGCAGTCCATTACAGCATCTAATCATTCCTTCTGTGAAGGAATTCTTCCTAATGTCCAATCTAAACCTCTCCTGGCACAGCCTGACGCTATGTCCTCTCATCCTGCCACTAGCTGCGTGGGAGAAGAGGCCGACCCACAGCTGGCTACAGCCTTATGTCAGGTGGTTGTAGGCAGTGATAAGGTCACCCCTAAGCCTCCTTTTCTCTCGGCTAAACAACCTCCGCTCCCTCGGCCGCTTCTCCTAGGACATCTGCTCCCAGCCCTTCTCTGGACACGCTCCAGCACCTCAGTGTCCTCCCTGCAGAGAGGCGCCCACAAGTAGGCACAGTACTCGAGGCGGCCTTAGCGGTGCCGAGCACAGGGAAAGAATCGCTTCCCTAATCCTGCTGGCCACGCCATTCCTGGTACAACGAGACGTGGTTTCTGTTTCCTGAGACACGCGGAGCCGCCCCACGCCCGGTGTCCGCCCGCGCCCCGGCGGCGGCGGGAGCGGCGCGCAGCCGCGGGGAGATGGCGGCGGAGCGGGGAGCGGGCGGGCGGCGCCATGGCGGGCCGCGCGGCGGAGGTGAGGGCGCCGGGGCGCGGCGTGCGGGAGCGGCGCGGCGTGCTTCGCCGGGGGCAGCAGGAGTGCGGCTTCTCCGCCTCACTAGCGTCCGGGGAGCCGCCGCCCTTGCCTTGGCGCTGGCGGTGAGGTCGGGGGAAAGTCTCAGAGGCACAAGCCGCCGGCTGCTCCGCAGCCCTGGTTTGCCCTTCAGCGCCGTGCCAGCCCCGGCTGGCCCTGGGGACCGAGGGGAACGGGGAGCAGCGCCCAGAGAAGCGGGGCTTTGGTAGGTAGGGCTGAACTTGCTTTTCCTCCCGGCCCGGCTGTGCGGGACAGTATTTCGCCCCTGAGCAGGACAGCAGTGGGTCAGAATTAAGCTAGACGGGTCCGGGGATGTGTAGTAGGAACGGATATGAGGAGCCAGAGGAGGTTTAAGTTGGAAATAATTAGAAAGAATTTGTTCACCACGGCGATTAGGTGCTGGAATGGGCTGCCCAGGGAGGTGGTGGAGTCACCGCTCCTGCAGGCGTTTGAGGACGTGGCACTCAGTGTCATGGTCTGGTTGACAGGTGATGTTCAATCACAGGTTGGACTCCATGATCTCAGATCTTTTCCAGCCTAATTAATTCTACGATCTTGTGAAATTTTAATTAAGAATCTGGAGAAAACCCCACAGAGTTAGCATGTCCCTGGCATTCTGGGTCACAGAGTGTGTGGGCACGCCGGTGTCGTGGGAATCGAGCACAGGCAGATTTGCAGGCTGATCTCCCCCAAGCTTCATGGCCTGGTGACCGAGATGAACACTCCAGTAGCGATTCTCAGCCGCTGGTGGCATGAGCCTGACCCCAGATCTCAGCCAGACAAGCTGTCACCTGTGGCTGGCTTCGACGCCAAGCGAATGTGAGCTGCTTCCAAATGCACACGACTGGGCTGCTGCTCCCAGCTGCCGTAACTTCTGTAATTCCACTCACAGAAGAGGCTGACCTCGGAAGCTACAGGATGGATATCTGTAATGGTGCTATTATGGGAATTCTTTATGTATTTTTTATATTGGTCTCCATGCAGCATTGATGTCTTGAAATAAGATATATGTTGGTATAAATATAGAAAGGAGCTAGAGTCCATGCTTTTAAATGTAGTATTGTTTTAATAGTTAAATAGATAAAAATCCATTTCATTTAAAGTGTATTTCAACCTTTGCTTAAACCAGTACATCATGGGTCTTTGATCAAGGCTCTAAAGTATTAAGAAATTTTGTACTTTCACTTTTAAGTGTTCATATTTTAGCATAAGAAATGTCAGCAGACACTAATAATATTTTACAAGTACCATTTGTTTAAATCATACTCTTTATCCATTCAGAATGGATGGCCTTTTCAGGAGCATATGCACTCTCCTGCACACAAAGGATTTATTTTTAAAGGAAAAAAGTTTTATAATTTTTCAGTGGAAAACCTGTAAAACAACAACAGTGATACTTAATCTAAATATGGCCCTGGCAATGGAATGACAAATAGAAATTGTGTAGAGCCAAGACTTAACTAAAAAAAAGAATGTTAAAGCAATGAAAATACAGTGTTTATCTGACAAATGATGACAAGCTTGCAGAAGTTCATAAAGCATGTCTTTATTACTTACGTGTTCCATTTTTATATTAATTTGTCAGTACAGTTTTTCATAAAAAGACATCGGAAACTTAGCATTTACCTTTACTTGTAGTGGGCTAGAATTTAATTCCTTGGTAGCTGTGTATGATTAAGAATAATCTTTAAAGCTATTTTGTCAAGGAAATGTGTTCAAAAGAAAGCATTGCTTATTTCTCTCCAAAATGATTCATATTTTCATTCTGAAGTATTAAGTTAACAAATGTACTTTAGATGGATATGTCTTAAGTACATTTTTACTTACTGATTTAGGCTTCTGTTTTCAAGACAGTCTGTTTTGTTGGACTTCTATGCCAATGCAGAGCTCAGTGAAAGAAGGAAATGTGATCCACTCCAGGAAAGCTTTGTTTAGATTGAGGTTGTCCAGGTTTCAAATAGGTTTCAAGAGGATATAAACAATATTTGTGCAGACTGAAAAACAGATGGAGACGTAAGAAAATTTGATGAGATCTTTCACTTAAAAGCCAGTGTTATACCTGCAGCTCACAACATGTTCTTCTTTTCTGTAGGTTTAAAAAGTTCTAATTCTTCTTGGATAAATGAAAAAAAAATTAAGATAAAATTACAAAATAGTGGAGGAAAGCTGTAAAACCAAGAATGAGCATGGATGGTAACATCTTTGTAGGTAAACAGGGAAAGAATTTTCAGTCTTTTGTCGTTTTGTAGTAGACAATTGTTTTATACATAATTTTGTAGTTATAATAGAACATGTAAAAGTCTGGTTTTTTTTCAAGTACTGGCTGCTGGAGACATGTTTTGCATAATACTGTAACCTTTCCTTTTTAAAAAAGGTGCAAATTCCCTATCATTCTGTCTGAGGTGGAAAGATGGGAAGACAGTTCCCATTTTTTTACTTCTAAGAGCATCATAGTGTATAAACCAATCTCAATGTACCAGGAATTTTGAATTACAATTTCCCAGTCTTTGGGGGACAATGTTATGAATGCTTCTTGTGCACAGAGATTGAGTAGAGGGAGCAGAGGGATGCAATCCCAGTGGTGTTGAAACACCAACAAGACATAAAATTAACTGAAACTGTTACCTGTATAAGGCAATACAGTTAAAGGATGTTGAAAAAAATGCTTTCTACTTGGAGATATCACAGCCTTCTTGAATTATTTTGACTGGTTTGCTGTCTGAAGTGATTGGAAATATGAATATGAACATTTGCATCCATCCAGATGAACAGTTAGGAGACTGAACTATATTGCATAAAAGTAGTTATTTAATAAATGATTACACAAACCCACTTAGAACATATTTCTATTGCCAGGAATGTTTATTGAGTGAGGGAGAATGTTTATAATATCCTCTTGTTGTGGGAAAATAGTGAAACATTGCTCATGTTGTCTGTCAGATGTAACAACAATTCTTTTTTGTTATAAAATCTGTTACCGTTGAGAAAAAAGAATATTAGGAAATGAAGCGGTAATTTGACAAAGTCCAAAAACCTCTTTTTCATACAGTGAAGTTTCAGTTCAGTACTGAGGCAGGTGATGTTAAAAGATTGATAATACCATTTTCTGCTTGGCTCAGCTTAAGTTCTGCTCTTCATGATAGAGACGTGTTGGAAAAATGCTAGATGTATTTCTAACAAGCTTGGATTTTTATGCAGATAATAAACTGTACTCTTTAGCTAGCAGGAGACTGTTAATATATAATCACAAAAGTTACTGTATGGTTTAAGCTGTGTGCAGCTGCACCAAAAGCCCAAATCTCATGATAAGCATTAAGTCATGTTTGAGTCATCTGCTGAAGTTCCATTCAACACACTTCTTTTCCTATGTATTGTCACTTGAGGCCAAAATGGGAGTTCATGTTTAAAAAATGTGCACTGTGTGTCAAAAGCCTGACTTCTGACCTGCCTGAAGCCCCAGCTAGTACTTCATACTGACAAGTAGTGGAAAGTGGCTGAGAGAAAAGGGATTCCTCTGCTAGCTTTGACATGTCTTTGTCATGAAAATTTGAAAAACCAGAGAGCTTCATGGAACATTTCTGTGACCTTGGGCCCAAACTAGGAAGTGGATTTTAGAATAAAGTCAGTTAATATTGAAAAATAATCTGGTTGTGCCTTAGAGAAACCTCACAAGTTTATATGAAATGGTACAAATTTTAAAGCAAGTAGATACCTACTTTATTTATACATAATTGCTAATAAAACTGTTGATGATAAATCTCTCAGAACTATATATACATTTTATTATTTCCCCCCTGAATCATAATGTACTAGAATGTATTGTGAGTCTGTATATCTGTCCAGTTGTGGAAGACATTAGCTAGTATCTCCAGTTGGTGCTTGTAACCTGTAACTTATTAAAAGTAAATTTCGTCATTTTTTTAACTCCATTTCTTGACAAGGTCAACAATATCAGTAAAAATAAAAGATTTCCTATCAGTGGAATAATGCATTACTTGTAACATTTTCAGTATTTCAAGTAGTTAACTACTTCATTCAGTAGAAAAATTCACATGGTTAAGCAAGACAAGATATAGGAAAAGCTAAAGTATCTTCCAGTGTGAATCAGTTTGACTGTAAATGAAGTTATTTAAAGGAGCCATTAGCAAGGTAATGTCTCTGCTGGGATGTACAGCCTCTCTAATATCAGTGGAGCATCCTAGAACTTGAAACAGCTGTAGCTGTTTAATTTGTAAAGTATTTTCTCTTTTTTTTTTTTTAATTTTTTTATTTTTTTATTTTTTTGCCATGGAACAAGTCAGGGTTTAATTTATCTGGTGTAGCTGTAATATACTGAACCTTTTCATGAGCTCTGGCTTACATACTGGTGTCAAACTAAGCCAGTGGCTAAGCAGTCTGGTAAGGAAAACAGCTTTTCCTATCTCATTAAATCCAAGCATGATGGATCTTGTTAGAAAAATTTGCTGACAGCTCTGCATTGAGATTGATCCCCGAGGCTTGAAAATTTCATTATGTGTTCTATTGATTGTTTTTGCTGTTTTGTTTTTTTTTTTAAGAATACAAGAATGCAATTTTAATTAAAAATGGAGGGATCTAGAAGAAGCAACTCCAAATATGGATAAAAATTGGCCTTGTAAAAGAGGATACTCTATGCATCTTCATATGAATGTGATACACTCTGCCATCTCACCTCTTCAAACTTGCTAATTTGGGAGGAAAGCTATGGGAGAATATTTAACTGGGAGAAGCACAGGTCAAAGCAGTGTAGCTCCAGATTATTTGAGTGCTGTAGTTCAGGCAGTCACTGATGTAAAGCATGCAGAACAAAGCTACTTCTCTATATTAGTACTGTGTACTCCAGTGCTTCTGGATCTGTGAGTGAGAGGTGACTCTTGGTCAGTGAGGTATCAGTGGTCATGGACAACTGGAAATTATACTGTTGTATTGCCTCAGTTCTCATTGTATTCATCTAGCTTTATTCATGTGGCTATTCTTTGAAGATGAACTTCTGCCTAGTTCTGAAATTTTTAGGTGTGAGAGGCAGCCATGTGGAGAGGCAGGAAGAGCTCTGATTTTTGCCAAGATGAAATAAAAGCTCCAGTAAATGGTTTCTTGATGACATCATTGATATCTGCTCTCCCACTGTCAATAGGATGAACAAATGTTTTTGGGGTTGGAGACTGGCTGTGAGAATTCTGATTTCTG